AGATACTCAATATCCGTTGACCGGATACCATCGGCATCAGCCTATTGTGGTAGAGAACAAATCAGCTCCCAACTGAAGAGGAAATTCGGAAAAGAGGTTGGAAGTGGATAGGACATACATTACGGAACTCACCAAACTGCATCACGATGCGAGCGCTAACTTGGAATCCTGTAGGGAAACGGAAAAGAACAAGGCCGAAGAATGCACTACACCGAGAATTGGAAGCAGATAAGTAAAGAATGAATAGCAACTGAAAAGGATTGTCTAGGACAGGATTGAATGGAGAATGCTGGTAGGCGGCCTATACTTCTCCAGGAGAATGTTCAGGCCTAAGTATGTAAGTAAGTAACCAATGTCTACTTAAGAATATCCATCTCATGAATTCATAATTATTTTACTATAAATGTATATTCACCATGCAAATATTTGATATAAAGGACAATAACTTATTAATTTATATATTGACTAATTCTAAGCTGAACTATCCATGCTATTCACTATTACTTGCTTACTTACGCCTGTTACTCCTCGTGAAGGAGCAAAGGCCGCTCACCAGTATTCTCTCTCCTTATTCACCATATTTACATAATTATTATCATAGTTACGGAAATTGAATAACCTTCGAATATGATGTACTAACTGATATCACAGAATTATGTATCGATAATCGATCAACATTCAGTGCTAAATGATTCTCAGGTATTATCCAATGTTGTCTTTGTATAGCCCTTAGTGATGGTCGAATTCTATCGATCAAGCTGTAATGTAGCTAGTTGTTTGATTAACTCAACATTTCATGTATTACATTTAAATGTTAGATGGTTGGCGGTAGTCCGTAAGAATTTATGGACCAACAATTTAATGTTAATTTATCACTCTATGAATCTAAGTAATCCAGAATCAGTTATGTAAAGACTTCAGGTACGTTGTTTTAACTAGTGTCAATTAGCACACAACTTATATATATATATACAGTCTCATAGTGAATACGTCCAGACACCTGAGTTCATCATTCGAAACCTGGAAGCAATGGTGGGCCGTTCCTTCCTAGTTTGGGAATCCTAGTTGAAGTTAGATAATAACACCGTTGGATGCCGACTCGGTTGTCTAGAGGCTAGGTGTTTGCGCTCAAGACCGGAGTTCCTTGGTTCTAGGATCGTGGATGCGCGCTTCTGAAGAGTTTCATTCTACGACGAAACGGCCGTCCAGTACTTTCATGTTTTCCATAGTAGTCGAGCTCATGAATTCAACTATTGAATTACTACATTCTCCATAAAATCTCCTCTCTAATATGAATTAATTTAAAAAAATCATGTTTGTCAGTTAATAATAGAATTTCATCTATTATCGACATAAATTGGAAAGTATTCCACACTACTTTTAGCTCATTAGCTCTATTGGAAAAAAAACACACAAATGGAGACAACCGAATGTATCTGAGAGTCATGCAGCAAATACTTCATTTGTAAAATCATCATTAATTGTCTCAGATTTAATTGTTCCTGCATTTCCATACCAATTACTTTCTATTCCCGTTCTTACCTCCTCGATCGTTTCAGCCTACTGATGCTAGACATTCTATTCCTGACTAGCATTATATACTATTTATATAAACATAAGTAGTACATATAACATTATATACTACTTATATCTGTTGACATCAGTAGCATACATCACAATATTCTTTTCTAGTATGTTTATTCAAATACCTAAATTATCAATAATATAAGCATAGTTTCAAAATGATTAAAAAGTCATAAAGTCACCCTTTGATCTCTATAGTGGGATCAACTCATGTGGTAAACGTTTTGTTGTATTATCACCTGATATTGTTTAGAGTTCAAGAGTTTAAGTTTTCTAAAAGTCTAACTAACGCTTAAGATGGTAATGTTAAAGACGTTCAGTTAAAGCCTAACAAGCATTATGAATAACATATAGGTTGTGATAAACATTAGTTTTGACTAATATTCATACATTTTTTTGAAGAAGTTTCACGAAGACACATTTCATTTAAAGGTTGAATTGATTACAGATTGATCTCAGTTGAGAAAGAATTAAAAACATGAGATTACTGAACAGCTGCTTAATTCTCTTATAGAATTTCTCAGTAATCCATACCCATGACTTCATCGAGAGTCAGGCTCAGATACTCCAGAGCTCATGAAGATTGTTGAACTACTAGAATCACCATGTCGGTATTCACTGTTAATACTTCAAATTCAATAAGTTTGGAATATAACGTAAAGTAACATTCAATGTCACTTATGCCAGTTGTTTCATATCTGACATACCTGAGTTCCACCAGTTACAACTTTCTCCTCAAACTTCAATAATATCTTTAAGTAAGTCACTAGTCAGTTGACTATTTTACCGTTGGATGTTGACTCAATAGTTCTAATGATTAGATGGTCACCATGAATTCTGGAAGATTTGAATTCCAACCTTGGTGAGACTATCGGTGTTCACCACTGGGTAGTCATACAGTAGTACAAAGTTCATATTTATTACTCTTTGTTTGATTACAGTATCCCGACCGACATTAATCTGTGACAAATATAACATACAAAATGTGTTCACATTGAAAATATTATTTGATTCGAACAAGTTGAGTTTATTTCAACCACTTCCGGAGTCTGTATTGTCATTTACTATGCTAAGCTCATATACCTTATCCTAGCTTCTGGATAGCCTAATTTATTCATTCTTCTTGAGTGACGTTTTGACCTTGTTCATTATTCACTTATCAACCTTGACTGCTTTTATACGAGTGTATATATATACAGTTCGTTCCGTCCTACTTTATGGTGATGAAACATGGCCGGTAAGAGTAGAGGATATTCATAGGTTACTGGTATTTGATCATAGGTGTCTTCGAAACATTGCTCGTATATCCTGGAACCATCGAGTAAGTAACGCAGTTATTAGGAAACGAGTACTAGGTAAGGATGGCAAATCAATTGGTGAAGTAATGAAACTTCATCAGTTGAGATGGCTGGGACACGTGTTATGTATGCCCAACCACCGAATGCCCCGACATGCGATGCTATATGGTGTAGGAGTAGGTTGGAAGAAAGTTAGGGGCATCCAGACCAAAAACATGGCATAAATCCTTAAAGTCACTGACAAGTGGACTGAGTTATGTTGGTAAGTGCAGACTACCTGGTTGAAATTTACGAGATGATAGTAACCGATGGTTAGAGACCCTGAATGAAATAGCTCAAAATCGTTTGCAATGGCGCAGGTTCAGTAACCGACGCTCATGTAATGTTGGTTTACAGCGGATCCCAAATTCTAATCTTCTGAATTCTTCATGTCCCTTTTTTTCTCTTTTCAGATTTATTTCACTGGATTATACTCCTTGAATAATATCTTCAAACTCTAATCTTCCCGATTACTGCTTATACTTTTACTACCTCTAGAACTATGGGTTTTGAATCGACAACTGCATCTCTGTGCTAATGTGGTGTGGCAACTCGAACTGATGTGCGTACGTACGAAGTTCTACGTTTTTACTGACTGATGTATACTTCTTATCCTATTCATCACATGTCTGTAACTTATTTTTATCTGGTTATAAATATTGATTAACACTTGAATAAATGGAGTTGGCTCACACTCTTACTCCACCGCACGTCATTTGGCTTCTCTCTCTTCTATTTGCTTCATCCCTCAGATTTCCTGTCCAGATCTATTAGTATACAAAATATACTTATTCAAATATCCATTCCCTAATGAAATATACAACGATAGCCGATATGTATATTTTAATAAAAATCATTTGTCCGATCCAACTACAGTTAAATTCAGGGTCACTATAGCCATGGGCACGTCGACAACATCATCCGACCTAATTGACATCTTAAATAAAAGATCACAATTCCTTTGTATGGTTACTGAAAGTTCCAAGTTCAAGTAAATAAATAGAAAAATAAAAGTGAATCATAGGATTAATAACTACATCTTATGAAAAAGAATCTTGTTAACAAAACACTAATCAGAAAGAAAACAATCCATTCAACAAAGAAAAACATTTCTTTCCCCTAGAAACAATCAATGGAGAAAACGAAAAAAAGAAAATTTAATTGATCTGATCAAATATTGATTTAGTTCAAAAGATAAATAACCATTTATTGATCGATCAATAAATGAAAGACATTGAGAAAATTGAATAGTTACATATAATAAAACGTTACAGAGGAGAGGAGGGAAGGGGGCATTCAGAAAACAAAAAAATCAATCTAACTGAATTACTATTGTTGATAATAAAAATGTTTACAAGGATAGATGGATTGTTGAATTTATGAGTCAATTGAAGTTAGACCACCGTGGATAACTTGAAGCATTGGATGACCGTTTCATCCTAGTATAGGACTCTTCAGCAGTGAGTATCCACAATCCCACCATGCGAGATTCGAACCCAAGATCTATTAGTCTAGCGTGTGAACGCTTAACCTCTAGACCACTGAGTCGATATCCAATGGTGTTAATGTCTAACTTCAATCAATCCACAAAGATTCTTGTAAGTGATCGGATATCGTTCTTTTACTTTGTTGTTGTTGACATAAACGTTGTATAACTGAAGAATATTGGAGGTCAACAACAAACCAATCAACGACTAGATCAACGCTCCAAATAGCTTTAGGCATTATTTCCTACTGCTATTTATAGTATAGTACAATAACTAATTACTAAATATTATCATTAGTCTAATGCAATGGAAGATTCCAAACTATACACTCCAATGTGATGATATCGTTTGGAATAATAATGAAAGTTCCACGACGAAAACCATCTAGATGAAAGAACGAAATTCAATCAAAATAATTCCAAAAGAAATCATTCAAGCAATTTGTAGAATATAGATGCTATGCAGTTGTATGAATTGCTCATTGAATGAACAAAGAGTTTATGATTTAATTACCATGTAAACTAATGGATTATCAAAACTATGAAATGAATATGATACATTTGAATTGGATAATGTTTAAACAACTGATTGATCAATTGATTGTGAGTTTTGCTGGATGTAATTCCAGTGGAATTTCCTCCTCCTCCTCATCATCATCATCATCATCTTGTGATTCATTCTGATCAAGATCAGTCTTCTGATCACCTTCATTGTGTACATGATATTGTTGTGACTTCATCATTTTACAGATTGTAGCATCATTATTTACATCAGTAACAACAACAACACCTTCATCATCATCATCATCATCATCATCATCATCATGATTACGAGTAGAATCGGAATCACGATCAAGATCATTGTGATTGAGTTTGTGATCAATCAAGTTGACCACATTGAAACTGACATTGACTGGATGTTGAGTGGAGAGTGGATGAGATCTGAGGAATACAGGATCGAGTGAAGAACATGATGAATTCACATATTGACAATCAACTCGATGATGATCAGAGATAGGAATATTGAGAGGAATGATAGTGTTTGTTGTGTGGGTAGTACTGGTGATGGCGGTAGTATGTGTATTGTTATTAATACTATTGGTAGTAACAGTGGTACTGTCAGTAGTAGTAGTAGTATGGTTGGTACTTGCAATTGAATTTTGAACCAGCAATACAGGTTTGCCACATGTGCGTTTACCATCCATGTCAGGTTGAATGGATGAATGGTGATTTTTGAGTAAATGCATCAAATTGATATAGAAGAGATCGATCAATGTGTCGTTGGTGCAACTCGATTTGCATAGTTGATTGGTGGTGTTTAGTGTTTGAATTGATTGTTTGGATTCAGTGGAATTATTCATTCGACTTGTCGGTGGTGCATTTATCGGTGATTGGTGAGGCAGTCGGTGTGAATTGTGTACGAGTGGGACAGGTGATGGATTGAATAGGAGAGGAGTTGTGATGTTTGATGGGTTGTTTGTGTAGTGGTTGTTAGTAGAATCGGTCAATTGATCAAATGTGAATGTGTTTGTGTTTGTGTTTGTGATTGGTATTGATGTATGTAGTGGATTGCATGATTTGGCATTGAATGTGTGTTCGTGTGTTGTGAGTGTTGGAGAGGAATTTGGTGTGAGTGTTGACCTGATCAGCTGATATGTGGGTATGTATGGATGTAGAAATCGGAGAAATGTTTGTGGAATGAGTGGAGAATTGAGTGTTGGTGAGTTTCGGTGATCAACTCGATCACCACTAACACCACCACCACCACCATCACCATCAACGTCATCACCATCATCATCATCGTCGTCGTCGTCATCATCATGAATTTTATCGTCAGGTCGACTCAGTCCTAATGCCCGACGTACTTTGCGTTGTGCTCTACGTCTTCTGAAGTCACCACTGAGAAAGTCTTTCAAGTTGGCTGGATGGATTCCCCAATAGTGTCCTTTCCCATTTGCTGCTCTACCTGTCAAATAAATGTACAATATCAATTAGACTTCAATCAGATTCATTTGTTGGGTGATAAATTGTGTGGAACATGCAAATGAATTACGTGAAATCAACATCCGAGTTGTCGAAAAGTTGAGTGGCAATCAGGAAGCAATCTTCAACCTGATGTGTTTGAACGGTTGAAGTGTGTTTCTTGATTAACCGTGATGTGGAATACGGATTATTCACCATGAGTTACACTGAGTAGTTATGAACATAATCGTCACGTCTCACATTCCATGGAAATCACGGTTTCATTTGTGCACACTGGAATATTATTTATGGTGATAACTGGGAGTGAGTGGCTTACTGCCATCACCAGTCTCCATCGCATATTCATTTTCCGATAGGTGGTGGTTTCACAGTTTACATTGAGTAGATATTTAGAATGTTGCTGGTGATTATCAGTACTGAATTGTGGACATTGTTGAGTACAGATTAATATTATGAATGGATCAATGTTAGGCCACCATTGAAAAACTGAGAGAACTGGACGGACATTTTGTTCTGATATGGGACTTATGGACATTGTGCATCCACGATGCCGCGCGCGAGACCGAATGTCTATGCCACTGAACCGGGTGAATGAGTGACCACTGACCAGTTACCAGTCACTCGACACATTCAGTATCGTCATTCGGATAATTTCGGTGAACAAAACACACTGTTCGCATAATGGAAAAAATCAGTGAATGAATCAGTGAGTGAAATGTCACAATTGCAATAACAAATTAATCACCACAAATTAATCAACAACTTACCGACTTTAATAAAACAATCATTCAATGACAAGTTGTGTCGAATGGAATTACGCCATCCTGGTCCACGTGTACTGAAATATGGATAACGTAGTTGAATCCATTGATAGATTTCTGACAATATCATACGTCTTTCTTGTGTACTGAGTATGGCCTTTGCAATCAATCCTAGAAGGTTTCGATTGGAAGAGAATAAACAAATGGTCAATTTTACTGAATAATATGTGGATAAATGACAAATTAATTGAGATTTAAGTGTGCACTATTAGAATTACCAGTTCATTCACTGATTACATTGAAATACTAGGTTCCCTGTCTGTTGAAGTCCAGTGTGCACCGATGAATTCTGTGAGTGAATGACTCGACATGAGTGTTGCACGTAAAACAACGTGTTTGGTGGTCCAGTGTGAACATGGTGAAGTTGGGTGTTGTGTCAATTCTGCATTAAGACTGTTGTGTCTTCCGTAGTGGTAATCAATTTTGAAGTCAGCAGCAAAATCTCACATCACCTGATTGTCTACCACCATTTCACAGATTTCGCTGCTGTTTATTGAGGGAGAGAATTTCGTGAAGATGTTTGTTCGACAGATTTGTTCATTGATGATTGAAGTGTAACATGGAGGAAATGGATTTTCGAATGAATATTGGTTCCAGTGATCACAGTGATCGAATGGCATTACTTCACCATGTGTTCATATTCGATAAGCAAGAGTCTATCAGTTCGAGTTAATAGAAGAGACTGAAGTTATTCACTAATTATTTTATGTGCAACATTCGATTACTACTTATTAGTAGCGTAATGTGAAGATGAAATGATGAATCGATTGTTTTGTCTTGTCATTTAAGATAGACGGAAAGAAGACACACACACACACACCAACAGTCACATATTCATTATATCAGTCCACTTTCAAATGAGTTCGTTTCCATTTCCAATGATCATTTGTGTGCTTATTACGATTGAATAATGATGATTATACTACTGAATATAAAGATCGATTGGGACAATTCACAGACGACAATTTTCTCTTTTCGACTTTATCATTTACTGAATTCATTATTCACCATATGCGTACTGTTCACTTCAATGTTAACTTTATTCCACTCATAAGTCTACACCATAATTATGGATGATTATGTATACTAGAAGCAATATAACTATGATTATTACTATTATTATTATAAAATAAGTGGAAAGGGAGAAGTGTTGGTGTATTCGCAGTGCATACACTCAACGACAAACATGCAAATGATTGTTGCAAGTGGTTCGTTGAGAAACAGTAATCAAACTGTTTGTTTTACTGACAATTTGCATCAATCTCAGATGTACAAACCACACTCACACTCACACACACACTCACATACAATGTTATCTCACAGGTATATTATAACACTTGATTAGCATATTGAACACACTGTTCCCTTTCATTTGTAACAATGTGTAAGTGATGAATGAATGAATGAACGAGTGAATGATTGTGGATGAGATGAAAATTAAAACACTTTGAAAATTAATTGAAGGTTACCCAGAATTGTGTTTACCACGCCTGTCGAAACACACAAACACACTGATAGATCAACATGACACTATTCTACAGCTCGTGTTAATAACCACATCATCATCATCATCATCATCATCGTCATCATCATTACAGACATCAGAAATTATTATTATGATTATGATTATCATTGAGAGTATTCTACCGATCAGCGTTAATTAACACTCACTCACACACACACACACACTCTCTCTCTTTCCCTCACAAACAAACAAACAAACACACCCACACACACACACTTGATCAAGTAAACTTGAAAGTGGATTGTATATCACAGTCAATTATGATTACGTCACAAGTGGTCATTAATCATAATCATAATACCATTAATTGTTATTATTCATAGTAATGATATGTTGTAATGGATAATGGAAAATACTAACAGGAGATTCTATGTGGGACATTCAATCCACATGAAATGGATACACAAATGAAAGCAAATTGTGGGAAATGTGGAATGGATATACCAGTTTGTTCATAATAATAATAATAATACTAATTAGTATTGTGTATTATATGAGTGAAATTGATTTTGGTCGTATCAGTGATAACAATGAGAATGTATCAATGAAACAACCGGTTTTGTGGAGTTGTGTCATTTCACTCATTCACACGATCGATGTGTCTTCCATCTCTGTTAAGATTTTACGATTCTAGTTGCAGTCGTATTTCACTTCATTGAATTAGTTGTTGAATGATGGACACTTGTTGTGGAATATCATCTTCGAGATGATTCCTAATGCTTAGTAGATATCATTTGTCGTGATCACTGTGAATGGATAACACCGAATAGAATATATAGATTTGAGAAGACGAAACGAGTCGTTGATCACTGTTGATTATTGTACAACTCAGATCACAAAGTCACAAGTACACAAAGAGAATATGGGAAGAAATGTGAATGAGATCCATTGAGGATGAATAATGAGACGAATGAATTGATCAGATTTAGTGAGGAAATAGATATGATTATGGGAATGGAATGAGTGACTGAGTGATTTAAACAATTAACATTTAGGCAGGTGAGAGGGAATTCTGTGAAGGTTGTGACAAGCATACATGTTCATACACACAAGATAATGATAGAAGTAATAGGAAGATATAAACAAATGATTACTGTTCTAATGACAAAGTCTGTTAAGTAAGTTAACTACAGCACCTAACAAATTTAGACGAACGCAGACTGATGTTGGTGTGGTACAGTACACTGCCGAACTCTACAAATATCTATACACATTAAATGTCCACATTTGACGAGAACAATGAAACTGCAGACAGACAGTTTGTTGGTGAACAGTAAGGCATTGCCCACCGAATTTGTGCAATCACAATCTACTTTGTCTTGTGAATTCACCACAAACCACACTGTTAAATGACGACGATCAATCATTTCGACTTTCGCATACAATGTCTTCTCTATACAATATGAACAAAACCGCAGTATTTGATTGAAGATATCTGATCATGGAATAGTTCAATGGATCTGATAACATCGAGTATTTCACTGTACTGTTGTCAGATCAGAACAACAACAGTAATATTTGAATAGATCGATAAATGCATTATCTGACCTACAGTGAATAACATGAAGCACTTGACAGAATTTCTCATTATATCTTCTCAACGAAAACATTATTGTTCAAACTTATTGGATCGGACTACTGAATTATTATAAGTGTAAGTAGCAATGGAATGAGGAGAGAATGTATGTTTCGTACTATCCTAAAAAACTCGCACTCACTACCCTGTATTCTCCCTTCTACAAGATAAACAAAAGTTCTCTCAGTTATTCAATGCAAGTATTCTCTCGTTGTTGGTTTATATTTGAGGAATGAACGGATTAGTTGTTTGTCGTGTATGTGGCACTTAAACAGATATCTGAGTGTCACGTATATTTAACTTAAATTGTCAATCGTGTTTAATGAAAGAGATTATAATATGCGTTTCATTCCACACGGAATGATCTCCCTCACCAATTCAGTCGTGAAAATATCCACAACCACAAATCTCACGTTCCTGTTTACAATCAATCACACAGTGTAATCAGTGTACTTCGTAGATAATGAGTGTGGTATGCAACAAATCACCCACTCACTGAAATTAAGGAGGAATATCCTTGTCATGTATTCAATCAATCAATAAATAAATAGATCAGTGAATCAATCACTTAACCAAACAACTACAGACTTACCAATATAACTGAAATTCGGTTTCGGTTCATCTTCTGTGATCAGATCACACGGCTTGACATTGTGAGTTTGGAATTGTTGTTGATGGTGATGGCGATGGTGATTGTGGTGATGACGGTGATGTTGACGACGTTGTGGATGATTGTGATGTAATCCCTTTATTTTGGCCACATTCACATTGTTGTGGTTGTCGTCGACAGGTGGAGTGACATTGTTCGTCTGCACATTGTTCCATTGGTTGATGTAATTGTGATATGGAATGAACAAGGAGTTGTACTGTTGTATACCAGAATGAAGATGACGATTACAATTCGTATTGTAATGATGAATGGTGTTTGTATGAATAGGTGATGTTTCGAATGCTAAGCGGAATGGATCTGTTTGTGAGGAAAATGATTGGGAATCACTGTGATTATCCACATTAGTGTGAATCACAGATGTGGAGGAGGTAGAATTGGGAATGGGTAATATAGATGAGATCGCCTGTGCAGTTTGTGGTGTGAACCAGTTGGATGTTGGATGGATCATATTGTGACTGGTATTACTAGTATGATCATGATTGTTATCATCATCAACATCATTGTCGTCATAATCACAAATTTGCATGAATTGGTGATGATTGGAGAAAATATTTGATGGAAGTGTATTGTTGTATGACATGATAATGCGAAACGAGTGAATGATGAGTTTGCAAAGATCCTGTGAGTGTGAGTGTGAGTGTGAGTGTGAAATGAAGTGATCTTTGTAAGTGGTTATGATACTTTCCAGTCAATATGATTTATTTGTTCCAAGTATTCCACAGGACATCAAACTGATAAATCGGAATGTGAACTGTCACTAATCACAATTGTAATGTTGATGTTCTCTCTGTCACAATCACAATATAAGTAGTATGAACTGAACAATGTGAATAAGAGAATGTGATTCTGTATGAATCAAACGAACTGAATAATCTTTGATGAAGATATTCAGTTGAATGCTGAAACAAAAATACCGAGTTTGCTCAACGATCTACCTTTCTATTGGTTCATGTTGGATTGACCAATGAAAACACAATGAGATTGGACGCATCATTCACTGATTGGTTGAAAGTAATGGGGAGTGTGTGTGTCTGAGAGAGATAGAGAGAGAGAGAGAGAAGGGAGTGAGGAAAACTTGATGAGAGTGGAATGAAATAAATGTTGTCCAGTGAATGAATGAAAACGTGGTTGAACTTGTTGTTGTTTAGTGGTGGTAGTTGATATCCTCGTGTTGTTGATTTTCTGTTGTTTTGTTACGAAGGCTAATTGAATGTGTATGTGTCACTGGTGAACATACTTATTGTTTGTTTGTAGAAATTCACGGGAATAGGGAGGGAGAATTGTATGTGTGCGTGTGTGCATGTTTTGTGTGTGATATGAATATCATCTGTTTACTGATGAACATAGAAACAATTATGGCTAAATGTAGATTGATTCGGTGTCTTCTGTCTGTCGGCATCTCTCTCATATTGCTCTTCATGTCGTTGTCATGTCCATATAAATCCAACGACTTAGTGTGTTTGTGTGTTTGTGTGTGTGTAACAGTGACACTTCTCAGAATATCATTGATTCCCTTAAGGTTTCGGAAATTCATTCTACTATAAAACATTATGGGAATATCTGTTCCTTTCCATTCCATTCCATTCCATTCCTCATATGTATGACTAGTACTGATTAATAATGATTTAAAACATTGTTACATGACTTTTGATTTTGACTAAGTAGACGATTTCATTGTTGTTGTGTAAATTGAAGAAGGTTACATAAGTCGGACCAAAGTCGATTGTGAATGAGGATGTTTAAGTATTGTATCGATGTGTGGTTCGAGTCCATGAGAGTTTAACTTCGTTTTACAAGATTGTTATGAACCTGTGAACCTGTGTTTACACTCACATCCAGTAATAATTCTCATTGAATGAAGTAGTAGTAGTAGTAGTAGTAGTAGTAGTAGTAGTAGTAGTAGTCGTTTCAGTTATTGTATGAATGATGGAAGAATATAGTAGTACATGGCATTGATATGTTTAAATCATTCATGTCTGATACACTAGAGGTTACTAAGTTTCTAATGACATGGTGTTCGATTATAGTGTTTAACTAGTCTACGAGAGATAGAGGGATACATATGATCTCTTATTGTGAATGTTGTCTAGTCAAATTTATCTTCATTCAACTTGTCGTTTATCAAATATCCACTAACAGCGGTTAGTCTCATTGCTCTTTTGTGTATTTACTAATATTGACATACACATACACACACATGCAACATCTTCCCATTCATAATCTCTTATTGGGAAAACGAATAAGCAAACAGTCGATCACGTTGTACATTTAAACACACAACTAATGCTTATTTTCGTTCGTAGACCACTCCTTAACACAATTAATGAACCACAATACATATGCATAGAATCAGTGCACTTCATTATGAAGTCGATCAGTACATGTGCTAATCAACAAACTGGTGTCCATGAGATGATTTCCGAAGACTGACAATCTCATTCATTGAGCTTTATCTGAAAGTTTATTAACCGAATTCACGCATTTATGTGATGAAATATGTCAGACCATGCAACAAGTCAGAAGACTCAATCTCATATGATTTTGAACAAGCTTTGGAGTTGTATCACACTTCGTTTCAGACACATGAATGATTGTGGAATTTCAGAACTGTAGAACAAGCGAGTAGGATTGGGTCGACTTAGAATGAATAGAGAAACACTTGAGTTGTTATTTTCAGTGGAACAGTTGACATGTGCATTGTTGTAT